GTTCTCCCGAGTCAAGCGCCTCAGGCAACTCTTCCTACCAATTGAGGAAGTCCAAAAGCAATAGTTCTTTACCGGTGCTTGCGATGCACGGCAATCGAAGTGCGGTCAAGAGATGACACGTATTCTTGCGTTACTTATGCGCAACTTCGTTAACAAAAGTCTATATGTTATATGTAATAGTTTCTTAAATAAACTTTATTTATATGTAGCTTGTGCATTTGATCTGTTCATAGTAGTAAATACTATGAAGCCAGTTCAAACGGCGATACATCATGAATGAAAGAAATGAAAAGTTTTTGCTTGACTGAAATCATCTACTGATTCCATTTTCCAGCAGAACAAAACAATACACAAGAATAGCATAAACCCGATGTTTTGGGATAGCTATTACCTGGTAGATTTTCAATTCCGCCAGTGATCATAGCATCAGTTTCAGAAAACTGAATTATCCAACGTAAGCGCATCCTTCCCTTGCTTCTAGTCACCTACACGTACCATTTAAGCAGACCACGGCTCCGTGGAATCTGAGCACCTTTGTGCATTGAATACAATACTGCATTTCTGAATTGGTGTTGAATAAGAGCGAATTCGAGTACCAACTAAATCTGTTTATTTATGCGTAAATATATACACAAAACATAAACTCAAATACAGAGCAGTTTATTGAAAGCTGTCAATGTGGCAGAATGCAGAAATGAATGCACATGAACTGTTGAAGCCAACAGGACAATTCATTAAACAGACGAAATGACAACAGAGTCTAAAAACGAATTCGAAACTCAGGAATTACACGAGCCTCCGGTATGAGCAATAAGGAGTTGCAAAAACAATGTGGCAAAGACAAGCATGAAATAAGTAAATCATATTGAACAAGTTCATGTCATCAACCAGTTCGACGGACTACAGACGGCAACCGCAGCGATTAACCAGGTTATTCTAGTGCGCAGATAATTGCCCAAACCGCTCAAAGGATTATGATAATATGATTTAATTGAAAATAGTACATGATCTCTATATGCGGGAGGAG